ATGTCCCCCTGCAGCAGCTGGGACAGGTGGTGCTGTGCGGGCTGGAGGAGGGCCTGGTGTGTCGTAACCGGGACCAGCTCGGCCGGGTCAAGATGTGCCTCAATTACCAGATCCGCGTGCTCTGCTGTGACAGCCGCCACTGCGCCACAACCCCGGCCACCACCACAGTGCCCACCCCGGGGACCAGCCTGAGGCCGACCTCCCCAACAACGCCCAAAGCCTCCACTCTCGGCACTGCAGGTCCCTCTTCCTCTGGGACCACCCAGAGTGTCAACTTCCCCACCACTGAGACAGGTCCCTCATCTCCACCAACCTTGCCGGGTACCACAATGTGTCCCTCCATGTTCCCAGAGACAGCGCACAGTTTGATATCCTCCACCGCGTCCACCACCTCACCCTCTGTCCTGTCTACTCTGAGGCCCACCGCCTCTCCCAGACCACCCGTCCCTACTACTGCCTGTCTGTGCCGGGCATTTGGAGAGCTTTTCTTACCAGGTGAGTGAAGAGCTGTGTTCTTCGCGACCAGCCACCTAACATACCCAGTTCCTCGTGTGCCTGAAGCCCCGACCTGTGGCTGCTGATCTCCTGCACACGCCTCTCCTGCTGACCTGGGTGTCTGCTCTTGCTGGATTTCTCCATAGGGGACGTTGTCTACAACAGAACCGACAAAGCCGGCTGCTATTTCTACGCCATCTGCAGCCCGCACTGTGAGCTGGAACGCTTTGAGGGTGCCTGCCCTACCTCCTTACCCCCAGGGTCCCCATCCTTCGTGTCCCCTACCTCTCCGACTTGGGGCTGCAACATCACCAGCCCTCCCCGACAGGTGCGTACCCTGCCTCCCTGCCTTGTCTATCCTTTTGTGCGTGGGGGTCAGGGGCTGCTGACGGCTCCAGCTGGGGCTGACCCTGAGCCCCTCGGTGACCCTTCCATTGGTAGCTCTGGGTGGACAGGGCACAGGGTCGTGTGGCCAAGTCAGCACCTAGGGCCTCGCAGGACTCGTGGACAGCCCTGCCCCAGGCCATGTGAGACCCATGGGGGTTGGGGGTGGGTCTCAAGAGCCCACCCAATGACAGCGTGCCTGCTGTCTGCCAGGTGAACGAGTCTTGGACGCTGGGGGACTGCACGGTGGCTCGCTGCGAGGGCGACAACCACATCATCGTGCTGGAGCCGAAGCCTGTGGCCCAGGTCACCTGTGTGAATGGGCACCTGCCCGTCAAAGTGCAGAGCCAGGAGGATCCCTGCCAGTACCGCTACGAGTGCGAGTGTGAGAGAAGCGGCCGCATGGAGATAGGGAGCCACAGAACGCAGGCCAGCCATGCTGACCAGACGCCACGCCGGGGGTGGCTGGGGCATCTGAGACCAGGGAGAGGAGGGGTGGCAATGGGAAAGCTCAGGTGCACGTTTCCTGGGGTCCTGAGCGGCCTTTTGTGGAGCCGCCCACAAGAAGGACCACACACTAGGTTGTTTGAAACAGCAGCGACGATTCTGTCCCAGGGATGGAGGCCAGAGTCTGACCGAGATCCAGGCGTCACAGGGCCACTCCCCCCACAAGCTCCAGGGGAGGGTCCTCCTGTCTTGGTCAGCCTCTGGGGGCTCCAGGTGTCCCTGGGCTGTAGCCTGTGTCACCCGTCTCTGCCTCCATCCTCACGTGGTCCCTCCTTTCTCTGTGTCTCTTCTGAGGGCACTCGTCACTAGATTTGGGGTCCACCTGGTAAATCAGGATGCTCTCCTGTCTAGATCCTTAACTTAATGACCGCTGTAAAGACCCTTTCCCAAATGAGGTCACATCCGCAGGCTCTGAGTGGACGAGCCCTTGATGCCACCAACCATCCCACTCACCCATTTTAAAAATGAGGCAACTGGGGCTGCGGGGGCTTGAGTGACCCCCGTGAGGGGGCAGCTCTGGAGGGCGCCGGGTGAGGGCACTGTCTGTGCCCACAGGCTCCTGCAGTAGCTGGGGTGGCTCCAACTACATCACCTTCGACGGCACCTCCTACTCGTTCTGGGACAACTGTACCCACGTCATCATGCAGGAGATCCACCCACGCCATGGGAACCTCACCATCCTCCTGGACAGCTACTTCTGTGGGGCCACCGCGGCCTCCACCCGCTGCCCCCGCGCCCTCATTGTCCACTACAAGTCCATGGAGATTGTCCTCACCACCACCATCAACGCCGATGGGCAGGAAGAGAGCCTGGTGAGTGTGGGTGGCAGGGTGGGCGTGGGCCTGTGCCCACCATGCCAGGGCGGGCGCCTGCACGCATGTCCCCGCCTGGAGGTCAGCTCCACAGGGACTCAGGGAGGGGGAAAGGCACGCCGCCGTGCAGGGCCACCGGGGGCGGAAGGCCGTGGCGGGAGGGCTGCCAGCAGCTGAGAGTGCCCTGGGGACCCAACCATAGCAGACTGGGTTCCCGGGGCCTGAGGTGTGGGGGCTGCAGAGGAGGAGGCCCCACTACCCCCGGTTACGGGTCCCCGGGTGCGTCCCCAGGTCCTGTTCGACCATGTGCGGGTGAGCCACGGCTTCAGCAAGAACGGCGTGACTGTGTCTGTGACGGCGGACACCGCCATGCACGTCAACATCCCGTCCATCGGCGCCAGTGTCACCTTCAGTGGGCAGGCCTTCCAGGTCCAGCTGTGCTACAGCCGCTTCAGCCACAACACCGAGGGCCTGTGTGGTGAGTGGGGACGTACGTGGAGGCCACAGGAACACAAGGGACCACCGCGCGTCACACACCTGGCTCCTCCCTCCAAGCTCTGCCTGTGCCCCCTGCCCCCTGGCAGCCCTCCCATGTCAGCTGCCTGCCACATCCCCACCACCCAGACCGGGACCGGCACCCCTCCCCCTCCGCCTGCCACCCCAGGGAGTCTGCCTCTTGGCCTCAGTAATCAGTGTTCATAACCGAGCGACCACCAGGGAGACAGTGGGGCAAGGGGAGATGATGAAAAAGGCTGGAGAACGGGATGGCTGGGTGCCCAGCCTGGCCCCCGTGGTGACCTCCCAGCCTCCACACTCCCCAGGCACTTGTACCAATAGCAAGGTAGACGACTGCCGCCGGCCAGATGGCACCATAGCTCCCACCTGCAAGGACATGGCCAAAACCTGGCTGGTCCCTGACAGCAGCAAGGAAGGCTGCTGGGCACCGACTGGCCCGTCCCCGACCACCAGCGGCCCGGCCTCGGCGCCCACCACACCTTCCTCCACCCCGTGCCTCCCAGCGCCCCTCTGCGAGCTGATGCTGAGCCGGTGAGTCCTTCCCTATGTGTTTGCCCATCCTGGGCCGAGAGCCCTGCCCGGGCCCAGGACCCAGCTGTGCTCCAACCTCTGTGCCCCCGCCGCAGGATCTTCACGGAGTGCCACGGCCTCATCCCTCCCGGCCCATTCTTCAGCACCTGCGTCAGAGACAGCTGCCAGGCCAGCCGCCCCGAGGTGCCCTGCGAGAGCCTGGAGGCCTACGCGGCGCTCTGCCGCGCCCGGGGCGTGTGCAGCGACTGGCGCAATGCCACCGCCGGGCTGTGCGGTGAGTTGGGGGTGGCCGCTGCGGGCTCTGGCCTCCTCGGCCCTCCTGACACCTGTCTCTGTGTCCCCAGACCTCACCTGCCCGCCTGAAAAGGTGTACAAGCCATGTGGCCCCATGCAGCCCATGTCCTGTGACTCCAGGTGAGCACCAGCCAGTGGGAATGGTGGGGACAGTGTCTGAAGGGTCTGGAGCAGCCAGGAGGAGACAGGAGGGGCCAGGACCCCCAGTCCCAGATTTCTGGGGTGCCCTTTTCCCACCCCGACCTTTGGTCCTGACCCCATGGGACGTCCAGGGCAGCCGACCAAGCCCAGCACGCCACCCATGCCCGCCTCCCGCCTCCCGCCTTCCTCGGAATGCTCGTCCGCATGGGCGGAGGGTCCCAGAACTGCCCTCACCTTACAGGAACCACAGCCCAGAGAGCAAGAGGCTGGTGGAAGGCTGCTTCTGTCCCGACGGCCACATGCTCTTCAACTCACACACGGACGTCTGTGTCCCCAAGTGCCGTAAGCACCATCCGTGGCCTGGGCCCCTGACCCAGCCCTGCAGAGCCAGTGGGCGGGACATCCTGGCCTGGCCTGCTTGCCTCAGTGTCAGACCGCCTGCCGTCTGGGCCCAGCTCCAGCCCCGTTCGTTCTGCCGGTGGCAGTGTGGCCTGGAGCCCTGCCAAGTCCCCCTGCTCCGTGGCTCCCCTCAAGTTCTCCAGGGACTCCTGTTCCCAGTGGGAAGACAGAGGCCCTGGCTGGGGGTGGGGGGGGCAAGGCTGAGAAGACATGTCCCTATGGCCTCTGCTCCCCAGCCGTGAACCCCACAACCCCTGCTGACCCCCTTTCTCCTTCCCTTTCAGCTTGCGTGGGACCAGATGGGTTTCCCAAATTCGTGAGTGGTTCTGCCCCCAGCTGGCTCCCCTTGCTCAAGCAGAAGTGGGGAGGGAGCGCCCCCATCTCGGGGCAGCCAGCTCAGCCTGGGCGGCCCCATGGTGGGGCTGGTGTGGTGCACCCAGGTGTGCCACGTGTCCCTGTCACTCGGGCTGCTCCAGAGGTGGTGGCTGGAGGGGGAGGCTGAGTGCTAGGGCCTGACCTGCTGCTGGATGCAGCCTGAGAGAACGGGGCCCTGTCCAAGGGCCCTCAGGAACCCCAACCTGTCTGTTCCAGCCTGGAGAACGGTGGGTCAGCAACTGCCAGGCCTGCGTGTGCGACGAGAGCTCCGTGTCGGTGCAGTGTGTCCCGGTGCGGTGCGAGCCCCAGGACCAGCCCCCGGAGTGCAGCTGGCCCGGCTTTGTGCCCGTGACCAGGCCCCTGGCCAACAACCTCTGCTGCCCAGAGACGCTGTGTGGTGAGCCCTGCACCCCAAGAGGCCCAGCGGGTGGGCAGCGAGCAGAGGAGGGTGGAGGGCACAGGCCACCGGCCGACCAGGCCTACAGGGCAGAGGAGGGGCAGCGTTCTGGCTGACCACCGCCAGACCACTGACTGGGGTGGGGGTCCGAGGGGGGTGCCTCCTGGTGCTTTCTTTCTCCACCTAAAAGTGATGCTGCTGACCCCTGGTCTCCCCAGGGACTTGAGGAGGGCCAGGGAGGTGACAGTGAGGGATCTGGAGGGGGTCCAGAAGGGCCACAGAGTGGTCAGCCGCCATGGAAAACCCTAGGGAAACCCTGTTACGCTGGGAACTAGCAGGGCCCGAGGGCAGGGGCACCCCCAATAGCACCCCGGCTCTCCTGCAGTCTGCAACGTGACCACCTGCCCCCGAAGCCTGCCGGAATGTGGGCCGGAAGAGGAGCTGACCCGCACCCAGGAGGAGGGCAGCTGCTGCCCCACCTTTGGCTGCAGTGAGTGGGGTGGAGGCTGGTGTTCCGGGCAGGGGAGGTGTCTGAGCACCCGCTCCCCATGGCCCAGGCAGGCCCTCAGCACCCCCTTTCCTTCCAGGACCTAAGCTGTGCAGCTACAATGGCACCGTCTATGGGGTAAGGACTCAGGGCCAGATGGGGTGGGGGGGTCCCCGAGCTCTGCACATCCGCTGTGGGACGGCCTGGACCCCCCTGGACCTCCACTTCTGGGCTCCTCATGCCCAGTCCTGTCCGCCCCTTCCTGTCACGACCGCAGATCAACAGAGGGGCTCAAGCCCTTTAGAGCTGGGTGGGGACAGGGCAGGACAGGGGAGAGGTGCCTCTGCCAGCCTGGTAGGCTGTGAGCTCCACACCTGCTGCCAGGGCCTCCCAGCAGCTTCCTCCCAGCGAGCTCCTGGGGGCAGGGCCATGCCCTCCCAGCCCCTCCTGCCTGCCTGGGGTCCCTGTCCACGCAGGGTCCTGCCTCTCTCCAGGTCTGTGCCCAGCCAGGGGGCATATCCATAATTCCATGTGAAGAAGAAAAAAACCGCCCTCTGTGGGCCTCACCTTCTCCCAGCCCACCCAGCCGCAGAGAGGGGTCCTGGCCCTGGTACCCAGCCCAGAGCCCTCAATGTCACTCCCCTCCCCCACCCTCCCATCCACTGCAGGTCGGTGCAACCTTCCCAGCGGTCACTCCCTGCCACACGTGCACCTGCCTGTCTGTGGACACCCAGGACCCGACTGTGCACTGTGAGGAGGATGCCTGCAACAGCACCTGTCCCCAGGTGAGCCCGCCCACCTGGGCATACCCAGACCCCTGGCCTGCCGCTGATGGCAGCCCTGAGTCACTGGTACCCAGGCCCCCAGGGCGGGTTCTCTAGCTCAACCCTTGCTGGGGTCTTGTTTTTTTCCAAATGGAGGTCATGCAGCAGGAGGCTGGGAGGGCGCGGGGCGGGGGGGGGACAGGGCCTGCAGGCTGCTGGGGGCTGGGACCAGGTCTAGGAAGGCAGTAGATGGAGAGACAGCTGGGAGCAGAGGTGAGGCTAAGTCAGAACAATAGGGCAGGGCAGCTTCTGCCCTGGTAGCCTGGACGGGGACACAGCTTCAGAGGGTGGGGGCTGCTAAGGAGGCTGCCAGACCCGTGGGGTGTGAACAAGAGGGCAGGAGGGCTGGGGAGCCGGGCTGGAGGTGCAGACATGACCACCCTTCCGGCCCCCAGGGTTCCGAGTACTCCAGAGTGGCTGGGCAGTGCTGCGGGGAGTGCGTGCAGACGGCCTGCCTCACGCCCCACGGCGGGCTGGTCCAGGTAAGGGGCGGGGCTCGGACTCAGTCCTCCACCCAGGAGACCCTCCCCTCCAGCCTTCAATGGCCCACGAGATAATCCCTACCCTGGCCTCCACTCTCCCCCCGTGCATTTCAGCCCAACGAGACCTGGGTCAACAGCCTCGTGGACAACTGCACTGAGTACCACTGCCTGGCTGAGAACGGGAACCCTGTGCTGACTCCGAGGCCCGCGCCCTGCCCCGACGTTCCCAGCTGCAGGGTGTGTGCCCCAGGGATCCCACCAACCTGGCTGTCTTCCGACCTTGCCCGAGGGCCCGCCCACACCTCGCCCTGGAGGCCCCGCCCCGCCCACCTCGCCCTGGAGGCCACGCCCCCACGCCTAGCCGCCAGGCCCCTGCCCTGTTCCGCCCACACCTTGCCCTGGAGGCCACGCCCCCACATCTAGCCCGCCAGGCCCCGCCCTGCCCCCGCCCACACCTCGCCCTGGAGGCCACGCCCCCCACGCCTAGCCCGCCAGGAGGCCCCACCTCTGGGCCTGCGCCCCGCCCCTAGCCCGCCTTCTGTCCCCCGCTGCAGGGCACCCTCAGGAAAACCGGCTGCTGCTACTCCTGTGAGGAAGCCGGTAAGTCGAGGCCACCGTCCCGTCCCCGCCCTCCAGCTCCGCCCAGCCTCCGCCCGTTGGCTCCTGCCCGCCCAGAACTGGCCCTGAGCAGCAGATCCGGAGGGAGCTTCGGAGGGAGCGCCCCAGGTCGGGGTCCTGAGCTCCCCTCTCCTCTGCCCAGACTCCTGCCGGGTCCAAGTCAACAGGACGGTCCTGCGGCACCGGGACTGCGAGGCCGCCGTCAACTTCACGTTCTGCGAGGGCTCCTGTCCAGGAGCGTCCAAGTGAGTGGGCCCCGCGCCCGCTCGCTGGGGCCTCCCATGCGGCGGCTGCGGGCCACACAGGGTCACCAGCCAGCGCCCCACGTGGCCCTGTCCTTGGCCCAGCTACAGGAAGGAGGGAACAGGTGGCCACGGAAGGTCTCCCCTCGCTCCGCGTCCATCGGCAGAAAGCCAGGACCCCGAGTCCAGGGGCCTGGGGCAGGGTCTGCTTGGCGGGTGGGCAGAATCAGGTCCTTCCGTGGACCGGACTCGCAGGGCAGAGCTGCTGGCAGAGTCCCCTGGCCTGAGTCCGCCTGGTTGCGGCCAGCTGTGTGCTCTCAGCCCGCAGGGGACGGAGGGCGGCCCGGGGAGGGTCCCTGGAGGAGAGGTCTGCAGACTCTGCACGTTTGAGAGGGTGGTCCAGGGAAGGGAGGGTGCCTGGCCTGGAAAGGTCAGCGTTCAAGGTGACCCTGAGCGCCCACGGGGCCGGCCCAGGCCAGGACGGTGAAGCCCCACGTGCTCAGTGAGCTGCCGTCTCCAGACCCCAGAGAAGCCGGGCCGGGGGCCGGGGCGGGTGCTGAGTGTGCCGTGTGTCTGCAGGTACTCCGTGGAGGCCCGGGCCATGCAGCGGCGGTGTACCTGCTGCCAGGACGTCAGGGCCCACGAGGAGGCGGTGACCATGCAGTGTCCCGACGGGACGGCCATCCAGCACACCTACACCCACGTGGACGAGTGCAGCTGCACCCCGGCCTGCATCCCCTCGCCTTTGGCTCCCGAGGACAGTGTGTCTGACTCTCAACCCTAGGGGGCCACTGCTGCCTGATGCCATCTGCCCCCCCACTGCCCCGGGTGAAACCCACAGCCTGGCAGGGGACAGTGCAGCTTGAGGAGGGTGCTACACGGAGCCCCTTGGCCGTCTTGGCCGCCTGCCCCGCCATCACGGCCAGCCTTCATCTGAAAGATGTGCTGGCTCCGCCCAGACTCATCCCTTCCTGGTGTCAGAGGGACGCCAGGAGCAAAACTGCACCTCAGGGCAGGCGCTGCACTGCTCCGCTCCGCTCCTCACCGGGGGCCCCGCCACACCCCCAAACCCCCTGGAGCCCGGCTCTCCGCTGCCGCCTCCGGCCGCTGACTGCAGCCTGAGACCCAACCACACCACGCCGGCTGCCTCCAGGAAGTGGAGTCAGGCAGGGCGGCTGCCTGCCTGTGTCTGGACTTGGGGCTGAGGCCATGATGGCCGACGGGTGGGCCGGGGAGGGTCAGTGCCCCGAAGCCCCCCCTCTGCTCACCTAGCCCCAAATAAACACCTTGCAAATAAACACCAAGCATCATGTACATTTTCAGGTCTGGGTGTCTCTTCCCACCGTGGCCCCCAGGGCTCTCCCCTCCGTCTGTGGGCCCACAGGCTTTATGGCACCCCCGGGGCTTGTGCTGGGAGGGATGGGCGGGGCAGGGGGCAGGAGTCAGCCAAGGGCTCAGAAACAGCCTCACCATTCTTCAAACACATTAATTAGGAAACTGGTTCACAGATGTGGACAGATTGGACCAGCCGACAAGACGACGCGTCCCAGACACGCGTCAGTGCAGGAGCAGCTGCCTGGCCGACCGGGGCTGCACGGTGGGGTGGGGGTGCATGGTGCTCCTGAGACCCCAGGGGAGCTGCTGCTGCGGCTGTGCCCCCTCCCCGTCCTGTCCATACCTCCCTCTCACAGTGTATTGTCTTCAGGGCGCTTGTCACTCGGCAACTTGTGTATTTGTTCTTTTCTGTTTCCTGAAGACAAGCTTTCTGCCTGTATGGGTGGGGGAGGGGCAGGCGGGGTGTGGCCAGCAGTGGACACACTGACCAGGCCCACATGTGCACCTTGGGATGTGGGGGGCGCCATGGCTTTGGGCTTGAACACACAGGAAGGACAAGAAATGACCTCCAAGCAGGCAGGACAGTTACAGGCCGGGCTGCCACCTGCGGAGGGTGGGCAATCCTGAAGGGGGCGAGTGGGCGGGTCTTCCTGTACCTTCCCCCATCACATGACCTGCGTCCACACTCAGTGTGGTTCTGCCAGCGCACACGCCATGACAGTAACTCACATTTACAGAGCTCCTGTCTCCTACCCCCAATAGGCCAGGATCCCCAGATCTTGGGAAAGGTGGGTCTGGGGGCTCAACAAGGGGGGGGTCCTGCGGTCCTTTCAGTGGCCGCTACCAGCACTCTGGCCTTTCATACCCCCAAAAGGGGGCCTGTCAGGGCAGGCCACTGGGGAGATGGGCCTGTGGGCTGACAGGTTGCAGGTGAGGCTGGCTGCCCCTCGGTCACCACTAGGGTCAGCTTTTATAGGGTTACCGTGTGCCCCACAGTCTGAATTCCTGGGGGTTCTGTGTCCAGGTCATGCCCCCGCTCAAGACTTCATTAACTCACATGCAAAACAACAGTGATCCCTAAACCTCAGTCATTCTTGCGGCACAATTGTTTCCTGAAACCCACACACCTCATCACAACTTAAACACGTTTGTAAGGCACCTGGAAGAGTGTCACTCCACAGACCCGAGTTCACATAGGCGGAGTGTTTCCCGAGTGCCAGCATCTGTCCTCAGTTAACCCCGATAAACACCCTATGCAATGTGTGCCATTGTTTCTCCCACCTTACATATGGGGAAACTGAGGCACAAAGCCATGAGAAGACCTGCTTCGGTCAGGGGTTAAAGCTGGGCTCAAGTCCAGGCAGTTGACGCCAGAGCCCACACGGCGGCCACAAGACTGCTGTCGCCGTAGAGGAGGTAACTATAAAAATCAACACAATGAATAAACAAGACAGTGTCACCTGAACTTGAAACATTTTCCAAAAGGGATTTCTGGTTTCCAGGTGGAAATGTGCACATATCTTCCCCCACAGACACAAAAACTATGACAAAGATAGAAACTTTAAAATAGCAGCAACTGAAAACAAGGAAATGAATTATCTGTAAAACCGACAGACATCCTTCAAAGAAGGAGATTTTGGGGAAGTCCCAATGGTGAGAGGGGGCCCCGGCCACAGGACAATATTTGAGTAAATAATAATAAGTGATCTTTCAGAACTGAAGACATGAGCTCTTTGACTGAAAGCGCTCACTGAGAGCCAGGGAACATAAAGACATCCATCCACCCCTAGTGCTTAGTAGTGAGATTTTGGAATATCAAGGAAAAGGACAAACCTCAAAGCTACCAGAATGCGAGACCATTTGCCTACAAGGGATAAGAGTCAGGAACGCCGGGTGCAAGGAGGCTGTGACGTGACGTGTCCACCGTGCCGAGGGGACTGCCTCAGCGCCGAATTCTCTACCCAACTCAACTAGCATTTCAGAGTCACATTTAAAAAGAGACATTTTCAACAGCAAGTGGACCTCGCACAGACCCTGTGTGGAAGAGGCAACACAGGAAGGTGAACTCCAACGAGACGGTAAACGCTGGCTAAATGTATTAGCGCTAAAGGGAGAGAACGGTCAGCAAAGAAATCGGTCACACACAGTGCTATAGCCAATCAAGAAGCGCGCCTCTCAGAACCAACCTCTCCCACACAGGCCTTCCTAATTTTTATGAGTCAGACTTATCAGTTTTTTCTTCATGGTTCGTGCTTCTCGGTCTTGGTCTTATCTCCTTGCCCTGCAGTCAGAAGTACGGTCCTCTGCATTTTACTGTACCATACACAGAACATAAAATTCACCATCTTAACCATTTTTTAAAGTGTACAGTTACGTGGTATTAAATATATTCACACTGCTGCACAGCCATCGCCGCCATCCATCTCCATAATTGTCTCCATCGTCCCAAACTGAAACTCTGTCCCCGTGAAACACTCACTTCCCACCCCCGCCCCCAGCCCCGGGTACCCGTCCTACTTTCTGTCTCCGTGAATTTGACTAAATAAGTCCTGTAAGTGGAGTCACAGAGAATTTGTCCCCCTGTGTCTGGCTCATTTCACTCAGCACAATGTCCTCAGGGTCCATCCGTGCTGAAGCAGCTGTGAGAACGCCCTCCTTTTTAAGGCTGAGTGACATTCCACGGTGTGGACGGACCACGTTTTGTGTGTGTTCTTTTGTTGATGGACACTCGGGTTGTGTCCACATTTCATTCCGCTGTGACCAACGCCCTACGAACACGGTGTGCACACATATCTCATCAAGTCCCTGCTTTCAGTTCTTTTGGGGACGTACCCAGAAGTGGACTTGCTGGGTCACATGGCAATTCAGTTTAATTTTTTGAGGAGCTTCCACACGCTTTTCCATGGCAGCTGTGCCATCTTATATTCCCACCCACAGTGAACACGATGTGCCCTCCGTTCATTGTGACACCCCCACCTTACACCCCACAGTGCTGCCTGCGCTGGAGGTCAAGCTTGCTGGAAGCATCTCTTTGGGTCCCCCTTTCTCTTGTCATCTTTTAAAATTTTTCAGGAAGAGTTTTTAAACACAGAGTATCTAACATTTTGGGCTCTTTTCAAAGAGAAGTTCCAAAAAAACCTTCCGCACTGTGCTCCTGGGAAGAGGCATTCCTCTCAAGTGGGGCGGCGGGCCTTGGGGGCATAGTCCTAGCCTCTGGGTCTGTCCTCTGCCCAGGGACCATGTGATCTGGCTGCCTCAAGGGGCTCTGAGCCTTGTCTACGAGCCCGTCCGCAAGCCACCGGGGACGCTGCCCTGAGGTCTGGGTCTGTGCAACACGGGACATCCTGGCTCACAGCTGACCTCGACAGGGTCTCCTAGGAGAGGCATCAGCACTGCCAGCAGCGGCAGCAGGTCCCCACTGAGAGACCTGACCACTCCGCCAGGCAGGACACTTCCTCCTCACGGTCACTCTGGAGGCAGCGCCCAGAGGCACGCTTCAGGCTTGTGTGCCTGGACAAGCTGCGTGCTGCCTCATTCTGAAGGTCAAGTGGAATGTCACCACAGCCCCAGAGTCACTGAGGGAGGGCTGAGGTGAAGCGTCAGCTGCGGGGTCCCCACCTGCTCTAGACCCAGCCCATGGGCCCAGAGGCCAGAGGGTGCCACGTCTCGGCCCCCACACTATTCTGTGCTGTCGTCTCGCTCCAGGCCAGTCCCCCTGCCATCGGCCCGGCGCAGTCCTGAACGCGGCGGGGCTGTTGTGCCTCTCTCCTAGGCCTTGAGTGCCCCTCATCCATCAGGTGGACCCCCGGCCCTATCACCAGCTACCTGGCCTCACAGGCCAACCTGGATCTTGTGTGGGCTTCCACAGCCCAGCAGATGCCTGGATAGACCCTTGGGTGACCCCAGCTCACCTGCCAAGCTCATCTGAGGCAGGGCCAAGAGCCAGGTGGCACCCTGGAGTCTTCCCATGTGATCTGTGAAGGGCAGAAGGCATCGACGTCCGTGGTGGGCAGGCTTGGCGGGCAGAGCTCCCACCCAGCCAGGAGCCGCGGGTCAGCACCGGGCGCACCCGCCTGCACTGGCATCACCCCACACGCCCCATGCCTTCGGCGTGCGTTGTGCTGTCCACTCAGCCTGCACTCACCCAGCCGAGCACAGGGATGAGTGCACGCCAGTCAGGGGAGGAAAGTGACGGGGCTTCCATGCTGAGTTAATGACGCCTGCATCGCAAGTTTTTGTAAGTTTTCACTTTTCCATCTTCTCCTAAATGGGGCTTATTGCTTTAATGTTGGCGTACCTCACAGTTAACAGGTGCTGGAGGTAATTCTCTTAGTGACAAAGTCACAAATTGGTGAAAAGAGGACGCCTTGTGCTCTGTGAGTTTTAGTGTTTCCCGTGAGGCCCATCAGCGGCAGCCGAGGACGCGACGTGGCTCCAAGGACGCGTGCTGCTGACTTGTGTCATTAAATAAAATGTTCCTGCAAAGCCCCATCAACACCCTCAGCTCCTTTCCTCCCTTTACTGGCTCCTGTCCTGTCCGCTGAGAACCCGCACCGTCCTCCCACTGATAGAAATGTGGGGCCAGCATTTTATTTCGGGGACTCAAAATGCAGGAAACGAGGGATTTGCCAAGTGCTGGGAGAGACAGTCCTGGTTTCCCTAATTGAAAACTTAAAATTTCAAATCAAATTTGGCTGCAGTTTTCTGTTTCCACAAAGGCTGCTTTCCAGAAATGAACAGTTCAAGGGACGCTTTCAAATTATTTTCAAAAATAAAATCAGAGACAATGATAATAAACTGGCTGCCTTCGTCAACACCAGGGACAATGGCCCGGAGGCAGGGGGTCTGTGTGCGCCCACACTGTGGGGGCAGGACCCCCACACTCGTGCCCCCAGAGCCACCATGAGCTGATTCCTGTTGGCCCTTGGCCACGGCTGGGGACTGGCCTGGCGAAGCTGACACTGGCATCCTTTCCTCGTTTGTTCCTTCAGCGAGTGCCGCCCGAGCGCCTGCTGTGTGGGTGCCGGGCCCGGGGTCAGGGGGAGCCCCACACACACACGTCGGCATCTGCTGTGCATGGACAGTAAGCAGGAGAGATGAGAAAAAGGGGCCGTGTGGGAAGGCACGAGAGATCGCCAGGGTGGCCAGAGAAGCTGCCCCAACGGGGACGTGCGAGGAAAGGCGCAAGGGCCCTGGGGCGGGCACGCTGGCGCGCCTGGGGCAGCGTGGGGCCGGGGGGGAGGGGGAGAGGCGGCAGAGGGGCTGGAGCCCCTGGCAGGACTCTGGCCTTTATCCCATGAGATGGATGTGGTCCAGCCTGGCAGTGAGGGCAGGCGCAGGACGGGGACCCTGAGAGAGGCCGCCCTGGCCCCACTGCCCCAGGCCCTGCACACCCAGCTGGCTCCCAAGGCCACCCCGGCAACACAGCCTCCCTACTCCTGTCTCAGAAACACACCTTCTAGACGGTGCCTCCCTCCAGCCACCCCTTCACTGTCACCCGCGCAGCCTCCTGGAAGTGTCCCCATGCCCTTGTTCTCACTTGAACCCCGAGTTGGGCTTTTACTCTTCCCGCCTGAGCGCACCTGCCCGTCGCTGAGGACAGGCGTTTCTGCGTGGGTTGCTGCGTCCACACCCCAACCCATCGCCCTGCGGCTGTTAGAGCTGCGGTGGCAGAGCCTGTCCCTCTTGGAAATGTGAGCCGTGTGTCACTGCGCCACTGGCCCTGCCCCCCAGGAGGCCTCCTCCACGTGTTGTCCTGTTCTCCTGCATCTCCGCCTCAGCCCCGAGCACGGAGAGCTGGCCAGCCGGGCCTGAGACCCACGCGGACACGAGCGAGACCTCGCTGGCCTCCTGCCCCCACCTCCAACGTGAAAGGGCCATGTATCCCTGTCCTGGTCCTCTCAGCTGGCCTCGGGCTTGAAGTAAATTGGCCATGACGTCCACCTGTGTGAAGCCACGAGCCACGGTTCTGGGCAAAAGACAAAGCGCAGTCCGCGCTGCGTGTTTGCTCCCCAAATTCCTGTGGAAACCTGACCCCTAGTGGACGTTATCAGGAAGCAGGGTCTTTGGAAGGTGACTGGTCACGAGGTGGAGCACCCGTGATAGGGTCAGTGTCCCCTCGCCCCTTCACCACGCAGGACACGGAAAAGCAGGCCATCTGCGCCCAGGAAGTGGCCCCGCAGACACCGAGTTGCCAGCACTGTGATGGCTGCCAGCCTCCGGAGCCGAGAGATGGCACTGTTAGCCCTTTGAGCCGCGCTGGGGGTACTCTGGTGCAGCCCAAAAGGACTGACTCCATCTCTACTTTCAGGTGACAGGATCAATGTATGGAAAACCCACAGAATCGGTGGAAAAACCACTACAAACAGTAAGAGAACTGAAAAGAGGTGGCAGACAGTGGCTGGTCATGACACCAACAAGCCAGTAGCCTCACCTGACCAGACTCAGTGACAGGAGCCCAATTAAAATAGCAAAACAGGGCCAGCCAAGTGGCTCAGTTGGTTAGAGCGCAAGCTCTGAGCAACAGGGTTGCTGGTTCGATTCCCACATGGGCCAGTGAGCTGCGCCCGAGCTGAGCTGCTGCTGAGCTGCCAACGGGCGGCCGGGTGGCTCAGCTGCTGAGCTTGTGCTCCTAACAACAAGGTTGCCGGTTCGATTCCCGCATGGGATGGTGGCTACGCCCACTGGCAACTAAGATTAAACACGGCACCTTGAGCTGAGCGGCCGTGAACTGCTGACAGGCGGCTGGATGGCGACTGGACTTGGAGCTGAGCTAGCTGCACCCTCCACAACAATTGAAGGACAACAACTTGGCTGTTCCCCTTCCCCAATTCTCCAATACAGTCTCTAAAAATAAATAAATAAATAAATAAATAAAATAAAATAGCAGAACAAGACCAGGCATGACTGTTTAACAGTAAATGCCCAAAATGCATGAGGAGAATGCTCTCTACAGCGGTTACTGGGGTGCGGGTGGGAGGGGGGGACCAGGCATTCAGGCGGCTAGGGAAAGTGGTAACAGAGGGACCGGAATTGGCTGCCACGGGCACTCCATCCTGTTGATGGCAGTCCCCAGATGTCATGGCAGGAAGTCAGGGCCTCCGAGGCAGGCTGAGGACACGCAGGCCCCGTGGGGAGAATGGGACGACCACAGCGGCATCACGGGGGTCCGAGTTCTGGACCTGGCAGGGGGCCGGGAGCTGGAGCACAAGGCTGGCGACAGGAGTGCGTGGCTGGGAGCAAGTGCCCTTGGAGCTGGTGTGCCTGCAGGGCTGGCCCGGCACCAACAGTGGACCGGGTGAGTGGAGCCTGGCACGACCCTCGTGATGGCCGAGGAAGGGGTCCCAAGGCTGAGCCTGGCTCCTGGGCACCTGCGTTGTGGGAATCTCAGCGTGGCCGTCCTCAGTGCCGTTCCAGTCGGGCCCCGAACAGCAGCGAGGGGTGTGGCCGTGGACCCCACAACAAGCAGTGGGGTCAGGAGGCAGACGGTCCTGAGCAGCAGCCTCCTGTGCTGACAAGCATTAGGCCTGGAGCCCTGGAGGCGAGCTGGACGGGCAGCTGACCAGGCTGAGCGGAAGGCAGAGCCCGCCTCCTCCAGCGCCCTGGCCCGAGTGGCTTCTCAGACCAGATCCTTCGGCTGGAGGAGGCGGGGCTCCCTGAGGTCCGCCTGTAACACCACGGCCAAGTGTCCAGGGTGGTGATCCCCAGCCCTACCCAGAGGGGCCCCAACATGCACCAGAGAGAAGAGACGGCCCAGCATACAGACGGGACCACCATGGACACTGGGGACCCAGAGCACTGCCCAGGCCCCATTATAGCTGAGCTCACGGGGCCACTTGTCTGCCCACTGGTCACTCCCCAGGCCCTGGAGCCCTAATTGGGATGGACCAGCCCATGACGCCTTCACCTGTGGCAGGAACGGCCAGGTGGGAACCGCTGAACCCCAAGCCGAACAAGCCATCAAAACCACACTATATCTGGGATAGGAGGCAGGGGGCAGGGCCACCCCAAGGACACAAGAGATGAAAGCGTCCCCACTGCAGCCCCTCAGTCCTCCCGCCCGGCCCCACAGATGAGCATGGTGGCCAAAAGGGTTCTGCACACCTAGCCTGTCCCCAGGCCACGTCGTGTGGACACTCACATTCGGGACCTGAGTTGGGTCCCACCGTCCTGGAGACGCTAACACACTAACAAGCGGCTTAGAGACAAGGTTACTTAACACGGGAGCCCTGCTCGGAGTCGCCACCAGCCCACACCCCCTGCACTGCTGGCCCGTCTGACGCTGCCTGCCCTGCACCGAACGCGCCTTCTCTGTGTTACGGTCAAGTGTGTTGGCGTTCATGGTCCCTGGGCTCACGGTGACTCCTGAACCGAGCCCCAGCGTCTTCTCTGCAGCAGTCCAGTGTTTGTCAGCCACGCCCCATCTGCTCATTGCAGTCCGTCAGGACGTCAATCCCAGCGTCCCCACACGAGTCCTGCTGGTGCTTTTCCACCCCATGTGGCTGTTGCCAAGTCTCTTGGTCTTTGAGTGCGCTTTGGATTCTAGCTGTTTTCATAACGTTTTAGTCATTGCCTGCGGACAGCTGTGGTCCAGAAGGGCCGCCCTGCTGCCGCCGACAGCGCGACCGGAGCTTTGGGCAGTTGCCTAGTGATGCCGCATCTACGCTGGAGTCCCGGGTTCCCCAGGGATCGTGTGTGTTTGTTCCCACCACCGGGGCCACGTCATCTCCCTTGAGGCTTCCCGGGTACAGGTGGAGGACATGAAGCCCCCAGGGCAGGGACGGCTGGGCTGCAGCCCATGACCCTCTGTCTCTTCTGGTTCACCCTCCAGGGCTCCAGAGCCAGAGCCCGGCACCCCAACCTTGGGCCAACGGCGTCTGTCAGCTCCGCCAGCACCCGGCATCCAGGACTGCAGCACCTCCAAACACTGACTGAGCCCGACCGAGGCCGGGAGCTGGGACAGCGGTGAACTGAAGAACCCTGCCCGCCACCACACCCACACAGCGTGCAGCCCCTGCCACAGGCTCAGGTCTGCAGTAAGGAGCTCTGTGCTCCCAGCGCTCCTGGCACTCTGTCCAAAGTCCTTTAGAAACAGAAGCACTCCTTGTTTCTTTGCTTTTTGTGGGGCACTAGCCCACATTTCTCTCAGCTGTTCTGGCCAAAAAAACCACTGTGACAGAGTGAATGGCAGAGGAGAGACTGCCCTCCCGGCTGCGCTGCTTCTGTGGGACCCGCGTCCATGCTGACCCCAGGTTCTGCTGACCTAGGGCCCCGGCAAGGGACAGAAACACCTGGACGGCCCACTGGCACTCCCAGTCCGAGTGTGGCACCTGCCACCCTGAGAGGAGGGGTCGTGGTGCCCTTAGAACGCATGGCTCGCGGCCCACAGTCCATTCTGACTCCTGAAACGTCACACGCGCAAACAAAGGCATGAGGTCGGACGCCTTGCGGCCAAGAGCCAGGCAGCACACCTGACACCCACAGCCGTCACCAGAGCACAGCGCCTGGGACTCCTGCAAACTTTAACTAGAAAACAAAAACACTCGATCTAAATGTTTTAGGTTAAGGCTCTGAGCCAGCCACCGGTTCTGCTTTAATTTCCACAGTCTTGCAGCTCGTTTACTAGAGTGAATTTGCTCTGATTGCTTCATCAATCCTGCTTATCACGAACTACGTGAAAAAATACTCAGGAACAAAAATGGTGAACTTTCCTCAAAGGACTTTAATTCTCTATTTTTATATAGATCATTTATTAAATTAGAAGGCTGAAAAGTAAAAATATATTTTACAATCCAAAGAAAAATCTGGACACTGGACCCCAGGAGAATACCAGAAACACAATGTCTGTGTCACTTCTGACAATACCAGCAGGTGCTTGTAAAGGGACAAGGGCCCCCGGGGGACGCTGCAGAGGTGGGGGAGGGGTCTGACTGCGGGGTGCTCTGTGCTCGCTGCCACGGCCGGGACTGAGGCCAGAGGAAACATCAGCGCACCGAGGCCTGCCATCTGCCTGCACCATGGCCCCGACAGCACAGCTGCCTGGCCCGCGGCGCGATGGCCTCCTCTTTGCAGCTGGGTGACAAATCCCACGAGGGACCACACCCCCTGCGAGGACCAGGCACGAGCTGACATGAAAACTGTGCCGTGGAGGCAGGGAGTCCGATCTGGCGAGGGAAGGCCCTCCAGGGTGGTGGCCCGCGGCCTATCAGAGAAGGATCGTGTTTGTGGAAAAGCAGAGACGTGCCGGCGTGCTCACCCTAACCCTGTCGTGCTCCTGGGGCTGGAGACCGGCGCCTGTCTTTCCTGTGCCATGTGTTCAGGTCACCACTTCCAGGGCAGTGTGGCAGCATGGGCAGCCCGCCCGGCACTTTCCTGCATGCGAGAAGTCTGCCACAGGCTCCCCGAGACCCAGCGTGAGCCATGAGGGCGGGACGCCCCGAGCTCAGAGCCAATCCCAGTGTCCACTGAGAGGCCCACCTGGCACGGGCCCGCCCTCCACTGCCCACTTTCCCAGGCTGACAGAAAGCACCCAGGACAGGCACGACCTGACCCGACAGTGGCGGGAAGCAGCCTTCTCTAGCCGACAGGGGAAGATGGCTGAAACTGACTGCCTCGTGCTGCCCCTCCACAGACGTCGCGTTGTCAGGGGCCTGTCCTGACGTCCATCCTGGAAGACCCCACATCCAAAGGCTGGGGCAGCCACTCCAGGGTGGACAGTGAGGGTGGCCTAACGCGCCCCCAGCCCTCACACGCGGGGTACGTGAGTGGTCAATGCGTGCACACGGGTTAAGATGCATCGCTCCTGAGAAACTGCTCAGGTTTCTGGTTTCCACTAGGTGTCACCCAACTTGTCCCTATCCTGCGTCTGCAGCGAGCCAGGCCTGTGTGCAGCCCACGGGCGTGTCAGGAGACTTAAATGCGGAGACCCACCAGGCTGCTTTTGTGTCGACCAGACCGGATCCTCGGGCACGATGCTTACTGAGATTAACATGAGCAGTGAGCCAGCAGTTCCCAAACACCCTTTAATAAGCAAAGTACTGTATCTATCACTTCTTACCCCCAATTTTAGGTTCTGGTGCAAGAGCCGGTCAAGGAGAGGAGGAGTGACCCCTCGGAATTACATTCCACAAAGCTGGCATGGACACAGCAGGAAAAGACGTAAGGGACCCTCTGAGCTGGGGACAGCCCTGCCAGCCCGCAGCCCTCACAGGCGGGGCTGGCTGGCTGTTCGCATTCAGCCTGAAACCTGTGGTTGAGGCCCAGCACCGCTGCGCCAGCCCAGGACACCGGGGAGCAGCCCAGGTCCACACACAACAGCAGGGGAGGCACGTGAGTTTTCCTTCAGTTTGCAAGTTCTAACAACACCCCCACACCAGCTGTTAATGGACTGTGTGTGCCTCAGGGTAACAGTAGGCCTGTCCCAGTGAAGTCAAACGACTGCACGCCGTTACAAACCAAAGGACGCGCGCGCCTTCCTGAGGCCCTGGCCACGCAGGCCACTCCCACCAGAGCACTCGCGGACAGCGTGCGGGGCAGGAGTGCACAGCACTTGAAGACGCATATCCCAAAGCACACAGGACACGGCCCACGTGTCAGCTCATTTCCTGGCACAGAGCGAGGGGAGGCTGCCCACACCACATCCACCCCACTGCCGCTCCAGAGCTGCCGGGAGCCGAGGACCCACATGCATCCCCAAAGGTGTGGTGGACTAGGGCTGCACGATGGCGGGCGGAGAAAGGGGCTACACAGGGCTCTCGCAGGCATCTTGTGGGGTCAGTGCTCCCCAGGGACCCTGGGTCGGCAAGTCCGAAGGGCCTGGAGGCAGCGTGGGGGGGGGGTCTAGGACTCCTCCCCCATCTGGAGCAGGGAGTTGATGGCTGCGTCCTTGTTCCCTCGCTGGGCTTCCAGCACGGAGCGGATCACCTCGGGGTCCATGTTGGGAAACATGTCCTGGATGGCTTTCAGGTCCTCCTCGTGACACCTGGCCGGGGTGCTCACGGCCGCCGGGGGCAAGGCCACGGGCACCATGCCTGGGCTGCACACGGCAGGCACTCCTGCAAGCACAAGATGCAGTTTAGGGCCATGGGGGTGTCCACAGTGCACAAGGCTGCTTCCGGCTGCAGGGAGCAACGTGGTGCCCCGCCGGCCTCCCCGAGGGGGCCCGAGTCTCACAGCCAATGACTGGCAAGGGCACCCCAACACACGGGGGAGAAACGGAGGCGAGCAGCCCCTGAGGCAAGACCTGCTTCACTCACTCACCCCACAGCACAGTGGGGGTTGGACCTCGGACTTCACATGAGCCCAGTCACACTGGGGGTGGGGAGCAGGCGCTCACACGTCTTGATCCCTTAGGAGCGCATGGACTGACACCACTGACCAAAGGCCACAAAACAGGGCCCCTCCTGAGAATGAAAGAGCAGACAAAACAGATGCTCGCTGACCCAGACGTCCAGCTTCTGCAGCTGTCCCTGGCCCCACGCCTTGGAGTCCACGGTCCCAGCTTGGCACCCGGCACTATCGGACGCGGACGAAGAAGGAATGGACAGCGGGCACTGAGCGGGCTGCACGCCTGCTCAGGACGCACACGACACACGGGAACGATAGGCAGAGACGCTGCGATGACTCGGAGTGTCGGCTGGCGTGCGGGCGAGGGGACAGGTGGCGCGGGGCCTCCTGGGTGTTCAGCCTGCTGACCACGGCGGGGCTCCTGTGACCCCCTGCCCTCATCACCCCTTTGTGTTTGAAGTGGATGACAGTGACGGCCGATGCTAAGAAGCCAGATGCCCACTGGGAGGAACTGCAGGGCGCTGGCCCTCCAATCCCTGAGCCCTGGGGTGGCCCGGCCCCCCAAGTCCAGGCAACACGTCCCGTGAGAACAGACGAATGTTCGGATGGGAGGCGACTACACAGGGCAACTGGCAGCACAGGACTGTGGGTAACACGTCCCCAGAGCCAAGTGGGGCTTCAAGCGCCAGTCCTTTAAGCTTCAAAAGCACAACCCTCCCAACCAGGCCCACGGCGACTAGAAGTGATCTCAGGCTGTGACTTCTGTCCTCTCCCAAATTCCCAAGACCCTGAGGCAGCCACAAGCTGTCTTCACAGCAGCCTGAGCCAAAGCCGCAGGACTGGGAGTGTGGAGGGGTGGGAGGTGGCTGCAGGGCACGATGGCAGCAGCCACACACTGGGACAGACAGGACGCTTCTGAGGCACCGGTAGTGAGAGGGGCACAGAACAATGTCCCCTTCCCGCCCCTCGGCCAGGCCTGGCCAAACACCTGCCTCCACACCTGACCCACCGCCGTCGGTCCTGGCCGTGCTGCGAGGCGGGTCACCTCCGGTCACAGGAAGGGGGTCACCCCTCCTCACAGGTGAGGCAATGGGGTCTGCTGAGACCAGGGTCACCCAGGTGGTAGCTGTGGAGACGGCTGGCCATGTTCAGGGCATCCTTCTGTCTCGGGCGGAGGTCTCAGGATGGGTGACAGCCTGTCTCATCTCCGAGGCAAGTGTCCTGGCTGCAATGCTCTCATGGCCCCACACCCTGCCGTCGGCAGAGCCCATGAACGTGGCCGAGAGAGCTGCCACCAGAGGCCACAGAGCGCACGGGACAGCACGTCCGCGTCATCTAGGCCTTGTTTTTCATGCTGCTCCCCAATAGGGTGACGTGCTACAGTTCCAGTGACCTCGTAGCTGCCCCGCAGACCCGCTCCTGCCCATATGGACTGGCCGGAGTGGGGGAGGGGAGAAGAGGGGGCATTTCAACAGACCTACGAGGACGACCGCAATGTGAGTGTCACGCTTTCAGACACCAGCCTGCTATCGACCAGGGAGGAAGATCTTACCAGGTCTCAAACGTGAGCCCGAGTCCGAGTGGACGGGCGTAGATGGTCACGGCCCTTTCAAAACCTGGCCAGCCAGTATAACTGAGTGTGGACACGACGGTCAAGCTCTCCCGGGAGACGTGAGAGCGGACGTGCTGGGGGCTGTGCTTTCAGGTGCTGGAGTGCGCGCACTTACACACAGGAGACACCCGGCAATGAAACAGGAGCGAGGACACCACACTGGGCCCTGAGGTTTCTGACTCCTGACCAAACAGCATGTCGCCCCAAAACTGAAACGCTCTTCCACATGACTCACTCAGACCACACAGGCACCAGGCCACAGCAGTCACATCATGTCACTGTGGCCCAAGGAGGCCGTCACGCTGTGCAGGCAGGTGACACAAAGCGCTCCTTCCTGCCCATTCCAGCCGGGGAGCTACTCTTGTCAGGAAGACACACAGCGACGCGCGCTGGGCGACTAAGGGCTTAAAGCCCCTCATGACGCAGCATCAAAGAGGAAAACTTGTGCGGCCACTAGGTCACACTTCCCCCTCAAGTCAGTGCGATTAATAAGCGCCTACCAGCAGAGGGAGAGAATTCTCAGAGAGTTTGAAAAATAAAACCCGATTCTCGGTTAACGACAAACCGTTCATGTGTTTTACAGAGTGGCACTGAGCTTCAGCTCTCCTACGTCTGCTGGGACTTCCAGTTAAGAGGACAATGCAACGGTGGGCACCCAACAGGCCTTATCTTAAATTCAAGCGTGGTGCTAACGCTGGTGGCTTGTGCCGCGGGTGTCAGGGCTGGGACCAGGCCACTCGCCCGGCATGGCTGAACAGTGTCACGGGACACACATCAGCTTTGCTTTGTATGGTCAAGAAGTGTCAGCACAGAGACGGGCCCGAGGGGCCACCAGCCTAGCGCTCCAAACTGGCGGAGGTGGCCGAGGTCGGAGCTCCAGGCCAAGGGGGACGGACCACGGAAGGGGGTACGGGACTCAGGCCTGGGCGCTGCTGCCCGAGGGACAGCCGATGACGCGCAGAGGGCACCAGGACGATGTCTTTGTTTGTAGGACCTGCGACTGCAGTGGGGGTGGGGCCGTGGTGGCCCTCGATGGGTGACCAGGTCTCAAAGGGTTCAGGCCGGAAGTCTTCCCTCCCCTTTGTAACGTTTCTGTTAGTACGCGACTGTTCGAAGTGTACAGAGGTCCATACCAAGGGAGAAGCTCGAGTCTCCACATAAAAAGAACTGACTCTCTCCTAAATAAACATGTTAGGGCACATGGTGCATGTCACCCTCAGGAACACCGTCTTTCACATACTGAAATGTTTACAAACTACATTTCTACATCGCCATGAATTTCAACTCACCTTATTTGTGCCAATAGTTAGGGAAAACCCATTTCTATTTCCTCCATACGCACACAAAACCCACAGGTTCATGCCTCCACGTCACGCCCCCAGCCCCACGTGCGCCACCCAGCGAGGAGAGGGGAGCGGCACGCACCTGTGATGGGCACGTAGCCGACGCCCTGCTGGTACACGGTCGGCATCAGGACCACAGGCTGAGGCTGCATCATCATGGCAGCGGGCAGTGCCTGGAAGACATGAAGACGGTCATGGGGTCAGACAGGAACACATATGAACCCGCTGCACGCCCAGTCTCACCAAAAGCGTCCTGGGAGAGACAGCACGGGGCGCCCGTCACCCTCAAACGCCCCACCCATACCAACACCCGAACCCTGCTCTGCTGGAAGGTCAGAGGGGACTGACTCTGGCTAAATTACTTCATTAGGTATAACAATGTCTTCATGTTCACATGAAAGTGTCTGTTAAAGATGCGTGAAGAAACATTCATGAGCAAAATCAAACTGATGCCAAGACTTGCTTTAAAATAGTCCAGCACCGGCCCGGCCGAGTGGCGCAGTTGGTTAAGAGCGTGAGCTCTGAGCAACAGGGCTACTGGTTCGACTCCCACATGGGCCAGTGAGCTGCACCTAAGCTGAGCTGCCGCTGAGCTGCCAACGAGCAACCAGATGGCTCAGCTGGTGAGAGCACGTGCTCCTAACGACAAGGTTGCTGGTTTGACTCCAGCTGCCAACAGGCGGCCGGATGGCGACTGGACTAGGAGCTGAGCTAGCTGCACCCTCCACACTAAGATTGAAGAACAACAACTTGGCTGTTCCCCTTCCCCAATTCCCCAATAAAATCTTAAAAAAAAAGAAAAAAAAAAAAAGTCCAGCATTCAAAGGGGGAAGGGATGCGCCATGACCAGCAAACAGAGGACGACTGCTGAGCTGGGTGATCTGTCCCCACGGGCCTATACTCTTCGACTGGCACGCAGGCTGGAACCCTTCCACACAAACGTTGAAATAATAATGACACCACCTCACTGACACACAGCAGATGGCAGGGGCCCAGGATCCAGACCCCTGACCCTGTCCCTCCCAAGACGGGCCGGGTGCGGAGGACGGGGCTGGGCGAGAGCCCGGGCTCTGAGGCCTGGCCCTGTGGCTCGCAGAGGCCAGCGCCTTCCTCCCCAGTCCCCTGCATGGAGGGCCTGCGGGCAGGACCAGGCCCAGGCCCTCAAGGCCACAGGGCGCCACACTGCGCAGGATGGCCGTGACCCGACACGGCCACCACACAGTGCTGCTCCTCCCAAGAGAGTGAGTGGCGGGCCCTTCTTGGGACCACAACCTAAACCTGTGGCCTTCGGGTTGAGGCCTAGCTCCTCAGGGACAACGCGTTCCCCAGGGAAGGTGAGATTGCCACTGGCCAGCTGAGGCTCATGAGCAGCTCGAAGTGTCTGCATGAGACAGGATGGCATCGCCCCAGCGGACACCCCCATCCCTGCCCTGCCATCCAAATGGCGGCCTCACTGAGTGAAACATGACACCCCCACACCCCCGCTACCTGCACGGCGCCCTCCCTGAGTATGACATGACGCCCACACACCCCGCACCTCACTCCCCCCTCGCCCCCCGCCACCTGTGCGGCACCCTCACCGAGTACGACATGACCAGGTTGATCATGCCCTCCTTGTCGTCTCCCTGCCGCCCGCTCAGGCAGTACCACTTGTCCTCCACCTCGCCCTGCTTCAGGGCCTCAGAAATCGTGATGTGTGTCCAGGCGATGCGGTCGTCCATGGCGAAGGCTCGCTGCGGGAACGACAGGGGGAACCGCGCTGAGGACCTGGGGAGCTGGCCGCGCCGCGCCTCCGAGGCGCCCCCTCCGACCAGGCCCCTCTGTGCTGGGCCTCCTCCGCCCGGAGGGCGCTATGTGAACGGCCTGAGGCTGCCTGAACATTCGTCACCCCTCCCCCACCCTCTTGGTCCCCGACAAGCCCGAAGGCCAGTGGGCACACTGGAGGAAGGAGGGCTGTCCCTGCTAACCACACCCTTCCGGAAGGAGAGGGTGAGGAGGAGAGAGCAGGAAGGACAGGCACAGGGTGGAGGGCTCGGGGACCGAGGGGCCCGCCCGGCCTTGCTGTCCACCCGTACGCCTCCCAGCTCTCACCTGCTGGGGCACCCTGGCCTGACCTCCGGAGGGATGGGGTGCCTCATACAGGTGCCCAGAGGACCAGGCTGAGGAGGAGCCCCGCTGCATCCATCTGACACTCCCCAAGGACAACCCAGTGGACCATCTGCGACTCGTACCATCAAGACCCCGAGTCCCACCCAGCCCCAGGGATGACCCACTTCCCATCCAACCTATTCACCAACCGCCAGCTGCCTCGATGTACCTGGTTCAGGGGAGGGGGACATGCCAAGACTCAGGCCAGAGTGCTCGGGGTCTGCTGTCACTGGTGATGACGTGTGTGTGCCTGTTTGG